GGCGGGGCTGTGCTCACCTGGGCGGGCCTGTGCTCACCTGGGCGGGGCTGTGCTCACCTGGGCGGTCCGTCCTCACCCTGGCGGGGCTGTGCTCACCTGGGCGGGCCTGTGCTCACCTGGGCTGGCCCGTCCTCACCTGGGCGGTCCGTCCTCACCTGGCCAGCGGGGCTCGCGTTCCCTCCGGGGCGGGGCGTAGCTCCTCCTCCCGCAGGTGAGCGGCGGCCCCGGGCTGCTCTGAGTGGCTGGGGCTGCTCAGGTACCACCTTCCCTTCCGCCTGCCAAGGGCCTGGAGCGCCGGGGCCAGTCTCACCCGAAATGACGGGAGCTGCAGCCCACGGCGCGAGAGGGAGCGCACCGCGGGGCCTGGACTCTGGACCATTTCAGGTTATGAATCCTGTTTTATCTGGGGAAAAAAAGTAACTCAGGATCCTCTCTTTCAGTCAGCTTTCAGCCACAAATTGTAATGCCCAGGGGATTACACTATGGTAAATCTGAGGTTTTGTTGTTTTTAAATATGTTTTTATTGATTGCAGAGAGAGGAAGGGAGAGGGAGAGAGAGACAGAATCATCAGTGATGGAGACAATCACGGACGGGCTGCTTCCTGCGCGCGCCCTGCTGGGGATGGAGCCCTGGGCTGGGCTCGTGCCCGCACCGGGATCCAACAGCCGCCTCCAGGGCCATGGGCCCACACTCAACCACTGAGCCCTTCCGGCGGGCTGGTAAGTCTGTTTTGAATTCAAAGACTGCAAGAGGTTTAGACCCTTTAAATATCTCTCTAGCTGGTGGAGAAACCACACGAGGAGAGCAATGCACTGGACTATATGGGATTTCTTTTCAGATTACTTGTCTGATTATTTGCAGAAGGCCCCTTCCAAGTTCCCAAAAGGCCTAGCTGCTGTCCACGGTAAGGACGTTGGGAGTGTTTGGCCTAAGGAACTGGAATACAAGGATCTGTAGGCTTTATTGTAAAGTGAACCCAGATTAGCTCTGAACATTGCTTGGGATTCTGGCTTTTGTATCTAGGTTGGTACAACACACACAGGGGGTGTCAGGCCATTTCTACTTGTGCTAAACTCTCTCTAGGTATCGAGGTGTTCCTGCCTCTCCTGCAGCTCATAAAATGCAAATAACTGAAATATTTTCTATATTACACTTCTGTAGCCAGAATAATATATTGCATTCAGGAGTCATTCAAAAACCCTTGAAATTTGAAAAGTTAAAATACTTGCTAAATTAAACAGTGGGATTTTTTTTTTTTTTTAAGCATCCTCCAAGTGTTCAGCCCTCTGCTAGGCAATGAAGAGGAGACAGAAGGGAATGAGACTAAAGAAGACCCTTGACCTCAAGGCACTTGCAGTCTGATAGGGGACATATTGCTTAGGAGTAGGAAAGGATCAAAATAGCCAACAGATAGCATGTAATCAAGTACCAAATTGTACTTTACAAGAGTGGTACTAAAACTAAAAAGAAAATATTATTTTAATAATGAAAATTTCATTCCATCTCGTTGAATGGCATGAATGCAGTTCTGAAGCTTTAGCTGTCAGACTGCTGAGGGAGACCCAGAGGATCTGAATTCCACTTCCCTCACTTCTAATCATACCCCAAGAGAGGAAAATGGCAACGTTGTCAATAGTTTCCTATAGTGTGCTCCAGTCTCCACTGCACCTTTCTTCAGTAAGATGAAAGAATAACTAGTTCTCTGTGTCGTTGTGGTTGAGTTCCACCCACCCCAAGCCATTGAATCATTAGTAGGCTTGACATGGAGTCTACAAAACTAGTCTCGAGGAAGGAGCTCAGTTCTCAAAACTTCATCTGGTAGATCTTAAGCCTAACAGCTGCCACACCACCACTCCCCTCAAAGAGCGCTCCCCTCCCCAGGTGGCCTGAAGTTTATTCATCCTGCTAACTAAGGTAACAGCAGAGGGTCCCCAAAGCCAAAAAGGACTGTTACGACACAGGGGATGGTCAACAGGGTGAAACACAGTGAGGGTTCAAATGAGATAAGACATGAAAAGGAGCGTTGGGTTTGATAATCTGGGTGGAGGGATGGGAGAAGTCGTTCCGTATCAGGTGAGGGTAAGGGAAGTGGAGACAGCTAAGGTAGGACACCTCTTTTTTGAAATGTGTGGGAGGGGTGGAAAAAGGCAAGTGGTAATTGTTTAAAAGGATATGTATCCTAAATGAAAAGCTTCCTTGTAGATAGCAGACAAGTGTTTCTTCTGAGGGGAAAAGGTAATCGTCCAGGCAAGGTTGAAGACCAAGGTGACACGCTCAGGGGTGGTACAGAGGTTAGAGCAGGAAGGAGGGGCCAAGTCCAGGCGAGGCAGGGTCGCCTCACCTCTGAAATTGGAGGGCAGGGAGTAAGGATGGATGAAAAATGCACTGAGCTTGGCTCAAGGAAAGTTTTCATTTAAGAATTTCTTCCTTTGCAGTAAAAGGCATTGGGGAAGGGGAAGACTGCAAGAAGGGAGAGAGGGCACTGGCCAGGGACACATGAAGGGATATCAGGTGGCTTTGTCTAGGGGATTCCTGCAAACCAGGCTGTGAGATGGCAAATGATTGGCTTTGTCCAGCAGATGGGTGTTTTCAGGGCAGGTGAATTGGAAAGATACATGTTCAAAATATTGTGGTTCTTGTGGAGGGGCTAAAATGATAGGCCTTAGTTGAATGAAAAGAAAATGAAAACTAGCTGATGGGTCAAAAGAAAACATAGGAACCTGTAGACTGGCAGTCCTAATGATTTTAAAGAGCAGCTGGGACCTAGCCGGCTTGGCTCAGTGGTTAGAGTATCGGCCCTCGGACTGAGAGGTCCCTGGTTGGATCCCGGCCAAGGGCCTGTACCTCGGTTGCAAGCTCGATCTCTGGCTTGGTCGGGGCATGTGTGGGAGGCAACCAATTGATGTGTCCCTCTCACATTGATGTCCCCCCCCCCTTGGAAAAAAAATGGAAAAAATATCCTGGAGGATTAAAATATAAAACATAAATAAAAATAAAATTTATTAAAAATAAAATAAAGAGCAGTTGGCATGAAAGCTAGAAGGGAAAAAGCACTGGTATGAGATGGAATGTTAAAGATTTTGGAGATGGAGCAGTGCTGAGATATGCCATGCATATGTCATATTTCCTCTACTAGCTCCTAAGTCCCCAGAAGTCAAGGACACATATACATCATTGTAGCCCTCAGAGTTCCTTGTATAATGGGAATTCTGACCTCATGTCTTTCATTTGATTATATGTGTTATCATGATGCACTGAAGGTCACTTGGATCATTTAAATTCTTCTCAGTACCAGTAAAGAAAGGAATTCATTCTAAACAATTCCTATTGCATCTCTCTATTATAAAGAGCGGGAAAAGTGAAAGAAAAAGGCTTTCCCAGCCCAGATATTCCTAAGATGACTTCATTTTTTCATTTTTACTTTATGGATTTTATCCATGTAAATATTTAATTTTTAATTGGTTGTAATTGTGAGAAAAATATAATTATCATTCTACTTGTTAAATGATCTCCTTTTAGAGTGAGATGAAGAATAAAATAAAAATTTTCTGCGTTCCTTTGTGGTTTCATAATTTTTTAATGTTTCCAAAGTTATGGCTCTACCATATTTACTTTCTTATCATTGGGCAAGTGGATTATTTCCAGTTTTGCAGTATTCCAAAGACTATCTTTTTGCATGTACCCTTTTATATTATAGTTGACCCTTGAGCAACACAGGGGTTAAGGGTGCTGACCCTCTGTGCATATTACTTTTGATAGGCCTTCATTGAATGACAGAAACTTAACCACTAATATTTACTGTTGACTGGAAACCTTACTGTAAAAAGATTATTGATTGATTTGAGAGAGAGAGGAAGGGGGAGAGACCAGGGGGCAGGGTGGAGGGAAACATCCATTTTTTTATCCATTCATTGTTCCATTTATTTATCCATTCATTGGTTGATTCTTGTGTGTGCCCTGACCAGGGATGGAACCCAGAACCTTGGCGTGTCAGGTTGATGCTCTAACCAACTGAACCACCCAGCCAGGGCCAGACGTTGATTAACACGCATTTTGTATGTTATGTGTATTATATACTATATTCTTACAATAAAGTAAGCTAGAAAAAAGACAGTGTTATTAAGAAAATCATAAGGAAGAGGAAAACACATTTACAGTACTGTATTTATTGACAGCGTAAGTGGAGGTCATCTGTTTACAAGATGTATCATCTGTCAGTACCTACACCAATATTGTCTTATATGATACAAAACACTGTAGATGTTATACATATTATTAATACTAGACATTAAAAATAAAAAGATAATGCAAAAAAGAAATTCATATTTTCTTACAGATATAACGATTCATGCATTGATAATGAGGAAGCAGCAATATGATTGCTTTGGGCAGCCTGGTGTAACTGATATGCTTGCTTCACAATAGTAAGAAAATCTCCAAATACATTGAGAAAGATCCACAGATAAGTGGACCTGCGCAGTTTAAACCTGTCTTGTTCAAGAGTCAACTGTGTTTCCATGGGATACATTCCTAAAAGTAAGAAAGGAGCTAAAAGTCAAACTTTTTAAAGATACATACTGCTAGAGTCTTTGACACCACCACAACAATGTATACTTTGCTACAGTCACCAAAACTTTACCAATAAAATCAGTTGTAAACCACAGAGTATATTTAGTCTGTGCTAACAAACTATCAGATACTAGCAGAAACCGTATAGAATAGGGGAAAGAATGTGTCTGACATTAAGGAAGTCCAAGGTCTACTCTAAAATTTGTCAGGAAATAACTGTGTGACCTTGGTCAGATTGCTTAACTTCTCTGGTTTCCTGATTGCTTATCTGTGTGAGTATGTTTTCTAAAATGATAATGAATATCTCTTTCGTTGCAAATATTTCTGGTCCTAGTCATCTCAAGGTCTTTCTTACACTGACTCATTGAATAGTTAGCATTCATTGAGGACCCACTGTGGGGTACTCTGTAAGCGCTTTATGTATAATTCAGGTATATCTCACGTAATTCACGCCACGAACCTTAGTGGTAGGTACTGTTATACTCATTGAACTGATGCAGAACTAAGATTCAAGCTAAGGAATGGAGGCTGGCCCAGTTCTCACTGAGGTAAGCAGGAGACCAGGGAGTCTGAGATGGGCCTAACCCCAGCATCCTGCATTTTCATTCATTATACTGTATGTAATGCCTGGGCACCTCCTCTTAATAGAACCCAAAAGACTGGAACCAGCTTTTAGTGTTGCAGTTCTTCTCTTACACCCCAAAGATGAGAGAATTCTATCCCATATACACAGAGTCCCAGAATGTCTCAGTTGCCTTATTTTTGTTTAACAAAAACCTGTTTTGAAGCCAACTTTTGTTTAGCATGCC